GGGGCTTCTTAGGGCAGTTCGACTTGAGGTGGCCTGGCCTTTAACAGTGGTAGCAGATGAATGTAGTCATTGAGTTCTTCTTGGGGCCCCAAGAATCAGACTTAGGGTCTGTTTCTCTTAGTGCTGCAGCAAAAGCAGCTGGTTTTTCTCGGTCTCTTTGTTTTTTCTCCTTGGCCTCCTCCTCACGGCTATAGAATACTGAGGAGGCAATTCGTACATCTCAAGTGAGCCATCTGGGGCGAAAGCCATTTTTTGTAGCTTTTTCTCTCCAGCCTCCCAGTGTTGATTTCTTTTTCTTTAGTGCTGATTATTAAACCCAGAACTTTTACACTGAGTTACATTTCCAGCCTTTTTTTTCTGTTTTTTATTTTGACATAGGGTCTTACTGAGTCACTAAATTGCCCAGGCTGGGCTGAAAATTGCCGCCCTCCTGTTTCAGTCTCCCAGAATTGGGATTACAGGTGTGCAGTACCATGCCCCGCCTAGGAGTAGGGCTTTTTTCTGACCATAACTTGCTGGTGTGGCAGGAGGACAGGCAGGTTAGTGGAATGTGGATGTTTCTGTGGCATCTTCCATCATGAGAACTCTTTTCTTTGGGACAGGAGATGGTGAGAATGTTAGTGAAATGGGTGCATTGCTTAAATTGGGGAAGGGTGGTTTAGCGGGCTCAGTGGGGAAGTTAGAAGTTTAGCTGTGGAAGGAGCTGGCTTTGTGTAGATGAGATTACTGAAAGACTAGCTTTGTGGAGAAGCTTATACCGTATGATCAAAATACTACACAGTGAATGTTTAAATTAACTACAGATTTATTACAATAAAAGACATATTGCCATTAATCTCCCTCATTGCCATGTGTTCTCCCTTGCTTCGAACACAGTGATATCATTGTTCTTGCTCTGGAAGTCCACTTCATAGTTATCTTTATGTGGTATGATTAAAAAAATATGGTGAATGCTGCTGAGTGCCATCCAATGGAAAAGCAGACTTGTACAAATATTAGGGTGTGTCCTCATCTACTGTGTTCACCTGATCTGCCTCTTCCTCAAAGCAATATGACCTTGAAAGTTAAATGTTTTGAATTGTTTTAGGACATTCAGGCAGCCACAAGCACAAAGGAAGATATTCAGGAAAAGACTTCCAGAACTGCTTCAGAAAGTGGGAAGAATGAGGGTTGAGTGTGTCTGAAGGAAGGGGCAGTCTTTTGAGGGAAATTAAATGACAGTCTGTCTTTTACTGTAATAAAATTTTGAAATTTAAATGCTCACCATGCTTTTTAATCACACCTTGTCTATCTTGAGATAAGGCCTGAAAGGAATCTAGAAATCTAGTAGGACTGTAATTGCTCTCCACTCTCCTTTTTTTTTTTTTTTTTTTTGGTTTTTTAATTTTTTTTCCGATACTGGGGATCAAACTCACGACCTTGTGCTTGCTGGGCAGGCGCTGTGCCGCTGAGCTATGTCCCCAGCCCTCATGAGCTTCTCTTGGCACAGTCTGTCTGCATTGGTTTCCTTCAATGAAGTGGGCTGGTGGGGAGCCATTTGTGGCTCTGGGTGCTGAACATGAATGTGGTGGCAGTTTTACTACCAGTGTATTGTCCTGATACCCACGTGTCTGCCACCCACAGTGTCTTGAGTCCTCGCTGGCATAGTACTCCAGTAGGTTGGTCTTAAGTTTCTCAAAACTTGAACAGTCCTCTGTTTTGCTGTTAGATATTGCTAAAACGTTTTGTAACTCATTGTATCCTGAACCACATCAGACCAAGTATTGAATGTATGGCGCCATCTTTACTTCCTGCTACCCAGCACTCATTTTAAACCCTTGGGCCTTCACTGCAGATCTCTTCCTGTCATCCTAAGCAGACATCACGGACCTGTTCTGTACCTTGACTGTGTGCGCTTTCCAGTTCTCTTTGTCTCTGTACAAATTGTACCCCTCCAAGTCTCAACTGCATTCTGAGGGCTGGGGATTTAGCTAGGGCTGGGGATTTAGCTCAGCGGCACAGCGCCTGCCTGGCAGGTGCAAGGTCGTGAGTTCAGTTCCCGGTACTGGAAAAAAACCCAAAAAAAAAAAAAAAACCCAACCAATCAACTGCATTCTGTTTTCTGTGTGTCCCTTCTCTGATGGCTCTAGCCATCACCTTTTTCCTTTTGTCATCTGCTATGTTAATTGTCCTGTAGAAATGTGGGCTGCATTATCCTGTGTGACTCGTGTGTAAATGATAAGCCTACTGTAATTGATAATCCTTTCCACATTTCCAGGGAAAGACATCTAATACTTAAATCTCTACCATGTCACCCACAGAAACACCAAGCTTGCACTGGGGATTTAGCTCAGTGGCACAGCACTCGTCTGGCAAGCACAAGGTCCTGAGTTCAATTACCAGTACCAAAAAGAAAAAAGAGAGAGAGAGAAATACCAAGCTTCCCATCCTTCAATTGAGCTCAGGGTTCCAGCTCTTGTTCCCTTCCTAAGGACCCTACTTCTTGTTGCTATTTCTGTTTTCCTACTTTACTGTGTTATTCTCACCAGAAGTGAAACATTCTTATCCCTGTCTTTAAAACCATAAACAACCTTGCTTTACAGCCAGCTTTTTTCCTCTTGACTTCTGCATCCTTCCTCCTCTCCCCTCCTCTCCCTCCCATCCTGTCCCCAGGCAAGGTTTCCCCATGTGATTCAGGGTGACCTGAAATTCCCTGTGTAACCCAGGTTGGCCTTGAACTTGTGGTCCTGCTACTTCAGCCTCCCAAATGCTGGGATTCCATGTGTGTACCACCCTGCCAGGTCCTATTTTGTTTCTCTATTCCTCTTTAGAACAGAATGTAAGGGAGTTTTCTCTACTCCCTCATTTTGTCTGCTCTTCAGTTTCCTCTAGTCTATATATCATCCTTAACACTCCCATGAAAATGTTTTCTAATCGAGGACACCAAGGCCTTCCATGTTATTCTGTCCCTATGGACACATGGTCATCTTGCCTGGTCTTTCAGCACTCTTGGCTTCGGTGGCAGGGCTGTTGCCCAGTCTTTCTCCATCTGTGGCCAATTCCCTCTATCTGGACATTCTTTGTGTCTGCTGGAGTTCAGTCCTTGTCTCTAATCCTTCCTTTCTAATCCCTGTTAGTGCTAGGGAACCTCAGAGTTCTAGTTCTTTCAGAATGCCAGGGCTTATACACCATATTTAAGCGAAGGACTCCCACACCTTTTCCCTAAGTTGCAGGTATGTACTATGTCCAGCTCTGCTTGATGGATATCCCAGCTCACTTGGATGCCTGGTGGGTTTCCCAGATTTAACATACATGGTGCAACAGAAAAGTACAATGGATTTTTTTATTGTTGTTGTTTTTGTTTTTTGAGACAGAGTCTCAATATGTAGTTCAATATGCTCTGTCTAAACACTTGTTTGGCCGGTTCTCTCTATCAAGTTTCTATTCAAATGTCACCTTATTGGAGGCTTTTCCTAACCGTTGTGTAGAGAGCCCTTCCCAGTCCTCGTCTTGGTCCAAGAAGTTTATATTTGTAATCACATGGAAGAGTTACTGGAATTTTAGCCAGTTAATTCCAATCTACTGCAACCCATGGCGAGAATAAAGACACTAAGGCATGTTTGTAGTTGTGGGGAATCAAGGGGTCCTAAATCCAGCTAGGATAATGGCTAACTGGCACAAAGGCTAGACCCAGGGCCAAACCCAGGTTTTATTAATTCATTGAGAAGGGAGCGGCTTGAGGCTGAGTGACTGTGAGAGTGGTGGGAAGTATGTGCTGTGAGCTGGGCTAGGTAGGAGGCCTGAAATCACCTCTGCAGGATGCAGAGAGAAGGATGTGGAGAAGAAGTAACCTGCGTAACGCAGTTTGAGGTAGTGTCAGCTCTGATGTGTGATCTTTTATGCTCCGGGAAGTCATAGCCTCTTAGCTCAGGGCTGGAGTCCATCCACAGCGTGGAGCAGGGGTCTCCACCCCGCCCGGCTCACGCTCATTTTTTTTGGAGCAGTGGGGTGGGGCAACACTGACCGATCACCTTGCTGCGAGGACTGCATGTCGGGCCCATGATGAGTACCGTGGCTGTCTGAGACGGGACATTTTGATTCAACCTGAATGGATCTCTGAGGTCTGTTAAACAAAACAAAACAAAACAAAAACAAAGACTACACATCCGATTTGCATTGCTTAAAGCCGGTGGAAGGGATAAGGAGAAGTCCTATACGTGGAAATGGGGCTGGGTTTAGCCAAAATGCAAATAATTGCTCTTTCAAGGAAAGTTGTCCAGGTGGACACCTCCACACCATTGTATTTTAAATATTGCGCTAGTTACTCTACCATATTAGTTTTGTTTCCTTATTTTATTTGCATATTGGTTGCCCCTCTGCTTTCCACACACACTATCAAACATTAAATTTCATAAAGGCAGAGGACGTCTTTATTGTTCACTTCTGTATGTATACCAGCAAAGTGTCTGAAACTCAGCACGTCCTCAGATGTTTGTCAATGAATCATTACTGTTCCTTGTTGATATTCTCATTAGTCCTATGCATTGAGTTAAGTGGAATCCAATGTGTTTGGATTTCTCTGTCTAGCTTGAATTCTTGGAATCTCCTTCGCTGAGCACGTCTCCTGGTTGGTGACAGACGTGATGTTTCACCGGTTCCTGTCGATTATCCGAAGGCAAAGAACCAGCCCAAGATGGCAGAAGCAGTGTTTGGCAAGAAGCAGTGCATCGGCTGCTGAGGCCCATTCTGTCGCCCTGCCTGCCCAGGCCCAGGTGGTCATCTGTGGGGGTGGAATCGTGGGCACATCTGTGGCCTACCACCTCTCCAGGATGGGGTGGAAGGACATCATCCTTCTGGAGCAGGGCAGGTAAGGCCAGGCTGGACTTGGTTTGTGGCTGTGCTGCCCTAGCGGCATGGGCTGCCCTCATCCTCGCCCCTTTCCCTGCCAGTGTCCCAGCTGTAACAGTCTGTGTTGCTCAGTAGCGCGAGAAGAATCAAGATGAAATATCCTGCACTTTGTTTAGGATTGCCTAATGTTTGTGTTTTGTGCATGTTAGAGCTGGCGTATTTCAGCAAAGCAGTTGTTTTAAAAAGGATGTGTGTGTGGATGTGTGTTGATAGCACATCTTATCTTGATGACTTGTTTTAATCATCCAGCAGCTTAAACCCTATGGCTTGTGAACTGATACCAAAGTGGCTACAAATTTCTGTTACTGTTTTTTATTTAATTACCCAACTTTAGATTGTTTTCAGATTTATAGAAAAATTGTGAAGATTGTACAGAATTCCCATTTATCTTACAGTCACATCCACTTTTTACTATATCTTGAATTACTTTGAGTGTTTTGATTAATAAGGTAATATTCATACATTAACAAGAATCCATACTGTATTCATATTTTTTGAAAGCTTTAAAATTTTTTTATTTTATGTACAAAGAGTTAGTGTATCTCTTTCATTGAGTGCATGTCCTGGATAATCCATGGAAGGAAGATCACTTAGTCCACTGTGATGAAACTGATCTTCCTGTTCCGACGGAAACACCGGTGGCTCATGCTGAGGCTGTATTTCCGGATCAGCCCAGGTCGGTTGAGCACATAGGGAAGAGTGAGAGCCCTGGCCAGTCTCCTGGGGCGGCCCCAGTAGAGCTGCCGGTAACCCACGCTGACTTCAGAGGCGGAGGAGGCAAAAAAAAAAAAAAAAAAAAAAGGCTGTATTTATGTTTTTAAACTTTCCCTCTAATATCCTTTTTCTATTCTAGGATCCCATCCTCTGGGATCCTTTGTACTTAAATCATTATGTCTCAGACACCTCATGGCTGTGATGGTTGTATGGTTTTTGTTTTCTTTTGGGGGCTTGAAATTGAATCCAGGACCTTTACACTGAGCCACATTAATTTTTAAATTTTGAAACAGGGTCTTGCTAAATCGCAAAGTCACAAAATTGTCCAGCCTGGACTTGAATTTGTGATCTTCTGGCCTCAGCCTCCCAGAATGCTGGAATTACAGCTATGCGTCACCATACCTGGCTTGAATTATTTTAAAATGGTTCTAGAGATTGCAATAAAGTGTGTGTGTGTATGTAGTGCTAAGAATTAAAAGGCCTTGTGCATGCTAGGTAAGCACTTTATCACTGAGCTACACCCCCAACCCCTTAATATGCGCTTTTATCACAGTCCATCATGAATTAATGTTATACTACCACATAGATTTTGTTAGGCATACAATGAATAATCCCATTTACCCCCTTTTGTCCTTAATGTTCTATATTTTTCTTCTATGTATATTGTAAATCCCATAATTTGTATCTGGGCTGGAGATACAGCTCAGTAGCACAAGTGCCTACCTAGCAAGCGTAAGGTCCTGAGTTCAATTCCCAGTACCAAAAAAAAAAAAAGTTGGTATGTTTGTATTAAATATTGAGCATTTATTTGTTTATTCATTTGACAGGGTCTCATTCTGTAGTCCTGGCTGGCCTCAGATGCACTATATAGCCTGGCAGTGGACCCTCAGACCTCCTGTCTTTACCTTCCGAGTGCTGGCATTACAAGCGTGTGACACCAGGCCCAATGAGCCTTCTTTTGTATTTATTTTTTATTTCATTTTATTTTACTGGCACTAGAATTGAACTCAGGACCTTGTGCTTGTTAGGCAGACACTGTACCACTGAGCTATATCCCTGGTCTGAGCAGACTTTTTTATTTTTTAAATTTTATTTATTTATTTATGTATTTATTTGGTCTTTTTGAGACAGGGTCTCACTCTGCAGTTCAGGCTGGCCTTGAGCTCACTTCATAGCCCAGGCTGGTCTTGAACTCGCAATGATCCTCTAGTCTCAGCCTCCTGAGTGCTAGGGTTACAGGCGTGTGCCACCATGCCCAGCAGACTTTTTTAGTAATTTATTTTGAAATAATTTCAAATTCACAGAAAAGCTGCAGGAACACTACAAAGAACCTGCACACCTCCTTGACCCAGATCCCTAGTTGTCCACATGCTAGTGCACCTGTTGTAGTACTCTCTCTGTTGTGGATGGGCAGGAGACACAGGCACAGCAATGTGGACACCCTTTATGATGAATATTTTTCTGATGATTTGAGCACAAGCTGCAGACCTGATGCACCTGCACTCTAAGCATTTCAGAATGTATGTTCTCAAAAGAACAAGACCACCCTCCTACATAACCACCATACATGGGTGGGAAAATATGGATACAGCTGTGCATGATGGTGCAGACCTGTAATCCTAGTACATAATTCCTGTAGTCAGGAGGCTGAGGCAAGAGAATTGCAAGTTTGATTTCAATCTGGGCAATTTAGTGACTTAATGAGACCCTGTCTCAAAAAAAGCCAGATGTGGTGGCCCATGCCTGTAATCTGAGCACTCTGGTGTAGGAGGAAGTAGAATCGGTGTGAGTTTGAGGCCAGCCTGGGCTACATAGTAAGATCCTGTCAAAGGTGAAAGGGTTATTATTAATAAATGGACCAACATGTGTAAAAAGAGGCTGCCCTAGGCAAACTGAGATGCTTGATTGCTTACACCTATATAGTTTCCATTTGGAGATAACTTTAGCTTCAAGTTTTGCTCAAGAAAGTCAATTTCTATTTAGGGTAAGATAGGCATAGCTCTATGCAGTGCATAGTGTAAAAGTGTGGAATGTGGGGCTATAAACAGAAGTAATGATTTAAATTGTTTTCTGTTATATTTGTTCAGCATTAGCAAACTGCTTTACTGCAGTGAATGAATTTTATTTTATTTTATTAGTCTTCAGAAGTTACTACCTTTTTGTATAGTCTTTTTTTTTTATTTTAAAGAGTAAAAGAAGGATAACATAATAATAGAGGGGGCTTACCAAATTACAGACAAAGT